ACAAGCATGGCATAGCCAATGTGGCCGAAAATAAATGAGCTGAGCGCCGACGGATGTCATGACCGCCACTTGTGTAGATGATTGACTTGAGTCGAGCTCCAGCCGATGATCGGCCGTCGCCTCTACTCTCAAAGATTCTTTTGTGTCAGGGTTGTTCTGCCATGGATACGAGCCATTGCCTGATTGCTGCAGTGGCATTTGTCGGGGGCTGGCTTCTTCGTGAAGTTACCACCGGGCATCCAGATACCCCTGCTTGCAATTGCCACTGCGCGTGCGCGACTGTCTCTCCCTCTAGCAGTACCTCTTGGAGTGTTCTCTTCACCGGTGGGGTAGCATTTGCACTTCTGATTGTGATTTCAACGCAAGCCGCTCTCATCTTCAAGGTCAGCGTGAAGAGCGGTGAGGGGCGACAAGAGCTAGCCCTTCAAGTGAAGGGAAAGTCCAAGGGTGTCTACGGGGCGCCTACCGGGTTTCAACTGCTAGGATAAGATGGTGTTCAACACAGGTGATGTTGTTTACATGGACTATGGGGAAAGACCGATTTGCGTGCATACAAGAGTGGTGTTGGCCGTGGTGGATCACCGTACACACGAATATGTGGTGCTCACTCCCGACCTTGATGTGTATACAGAGGTCCTACATGAAAGCAATCCAGAGCTAGTGCGATTTCTCCTTCCAGGTCCCAATGGTGGCATACCCCGAGGTGTCGCTGCCCGGAATGTATACTCATTTGCTCCTATGTCCGCGGCGGATTTGTCAAACTATACCCGTCAAGGCAGAGAGGAGGCAGAAGCCGAAATCCTGCGTCGGGGGTCGGCTGCGGGCGGTGTGGCGCCCGTTGACCCGGACCCGGCTGGGGGAGCTGCTCCTGAAGTTGACGATGGACGGCGGTGGGTGCTGGCAGAGTACATCCCAGGGCATAAGATCGGAGAAGAGATTGAGCTTGCCGCCGGGTCTGCAAGAGATGGGCATTGGGCCCTCCATCATATCACTGACTCTGCAGGAGTGATCCAGGTTGCTCTAGTGGCCAATGTGGCTGAAGCGGACCTGGACTCCTTTTGCGAAGCCCGCATACAGAGATGCCGAGAAGCTGAGGCGATGCACGGTGATGACAAGATTGCCGGAGATGATGCCAGAACACTTTCCATCAAGTACGGGGCGAACGGCGAAAGGAGTCGGACCTTCAAGGAGTCGGTTCAAGAGATGAGGGTCGTGGACTTCGACGACTTCCCATTCGTTCCAAGGACTTGCTGTGATTATTTGAAGGCAGTCTCAAATGTTGCTGAGTCGTGTCTGGCACAGCATACCATGTGGGTGTCACAGAGTGGGATTCCTAACGGCGATAGATCCATTTATGAAGATGATTGTTTAAGTCGCATGTTGGATTTGGCTGTGAAGTTCGACGGGCTCAACATTACCAATTTGGCTTGTTTTGAACTCGTCGTACGTCGCAAGCAGCTCATTGCAGAGGCGCACTCTTACTCTCCTGGGGCTCCCAGCTATGAGGCTGCGGACCACTTCCTGCAGACAGGCTACCGGCCGGGCGGAGCTATAGTGGTTCCAGCGCTTACCAAGCATGTTGCTGAGAAGTTGCACCAGGAGGGCCAGATCATGAAGGAGCGTCGGAAGCTTCGCGAGGAGAAGGGGCAAGGAAAAGGGAGGAAAGGCGACCCCGGGGGAAACAAGGACACCCCCGGGAATGCGAAAAAGTGAGCAACACGGGGCAGGGTTGGGTGGGCCCTGCCCCTTTTTACAACCACCCACTTCGCGGCAGAGCAAGGTTTTTCGACCTCCTATCCCTCATGATGATCGACAGAGGGATCTCTTTCCGCTGCCTTTGTTGGTGGAGGAGCCGGAGGTGGCCAAGAAGTCTCTCAGCCGCAGTGTAAAGCAACGAATTCATCGCAGGAGGAACAGACAGAGGCGCCTCAATTCGGCCGTGGTCGCCTTGAATTCACTTTTCTTTGGGAAGGATTTGGATTCTGCAAAAAGCTGCATTAACATATCCGACCTGCCTCGCGTCCAGGGGGATGTGCTCAGGAGCCTCATTCATAGACTGAAGGTTTTGGGGCCACCACCTGCCGTTGCAAGCTACCGAGAAGCCCTTCAGGCGCTTCAGGTACCAGGGGGCAGCTACGAGGCTGAACCCGGTGTTGGCGAAACCGTGCCAATGGATTTGAGTTCCTTGTCCTTGCCCACTTTGTCAGGGACTGGGGTGGATCTTGAGAGAGAGATGAGTGGCAGCATCGGAGACATGATCCGCGACTTCGAGGGGCACTTGCTCCAAGATGCAACCACTTGGGCCTCGGTGGCAGAGGAGGCTGCCCGGATGAAGCCTTACAATGACCCGAAGATGCATCATAAGGGTTTCTACCGTGATTTTCTACTTCGTCTGCAGAGCTGTGGCATTCTAACTTTTTCCAGGCGTGCTCGGGGCAGGGTAGGCGCTTTCTCGGTCAGCAAGAAGCCAAAGGTGATAGATGGGCAGCTCCGTCACCGCCAAAGGCTCATCCTTGACTGCAGGCAGGTAAACCTTCAGTTTAGGGCCCCGCCCTTGACGGAGTTAGGATCCCTTGCTGCCCTTTGCGAGATTGAAATTGGACCGGGAGAGACAGTTTACACTGGTGGGGCCGATATTGCTGATTGCTTCTATGGCTGCAGGCTTCCGATTGGGATGGAGTCCTTCTTCTGCTTCAAGGAGGATATCTTGGTCCGGGATGCCAAGGCACTCTTTCCTGAAATGCCCGAATGGATTCATGGACTCGCAGAGGATAGTGTCATTTCTCCATGCCTCAGTGTGCTCCCTATGGGTTTTTCTTGGTCTTTTTACATCGTACAACAGCTACATGAGCAGATCACCATGCAGGCTCTATCGATTGATCGACGTGATCTCATCTTGGACTCACATCCGGCGCGTGAACTCAGGCGCGGGACATGTTTGGCCATGCCATACTGCGACAATGTGCACGTGATCGGCAAAGAGAGTGGTCGCGTTGAGCAACATCGCCTTAGGGTTTGTGAGTGTCTTCGAGAGAAGGGCTTCCAAGTGCATGAAGAGGTGCCCGCCAGTGCCGTGGTGCCAACTTTGGGTGGTATCGTGGACGGGCATGCAGGCCTGGTTAGAGCTACCCCCTCTCGACTGTGGAAGATCATAATTGGGTTCGAGTATTGCCTCCGGAAGCCAGTGAGCTCAGAGTTCGTGCGTCGGCTCCTGGGTCACGCGATGGTCCTATGTGTCCTGAACAGGTGCGGTATGGCCATCTTCCGCTCCCTCTACGACTTCAGTGCAAAAGGCCTCGGTCCGTGTCGACTTTGGAAGAGTGCAGCCCGGGAGTGTCGTATGTTCATTGCCATCGCACCTCTTCTTCAAGGGAATCTTCGGAGGGAGTGGTCAAGTCGAGTCACATGCACAGATGCATCGCCCGAGGGGTATGGGATCGTCGAGTGTGAGCTGGGGGTCGATCAAGTCAGAGAGATTGGGCAGTGGAACGAGCGATGGAGATTCAAGAGATTGCCAGTAAGTGAGTGGAGGCATCGAGAGCGGGCCTTCAACTACGATGTGGTTTCGGATCTCTTCACTGTGGGGAGGCCGGAACCGACTGCAGGGATCAACCAGGAGTATGTCGAGAATGAAGAGTTCGTCGAGGTCCCATTCCAGCTAATGAAGCCCTCCAGGTGGCACACTGCGAAAATCGGTATGTGGAAGAACACCTCAGAACATATCAGTCTCAAGGAGGGGAGGTGTCTTGTACTCGCTCTCAGGCGGCTTTCTCGTGATAGCAAGCAGAGAGGGAGGAAATTACTCATTTTCGTTGACAACTTAGCGTTGGGCATGGCTGTGAGCAAGGGGCGGGCACACGATTTTCACATGCTGCGGGTATGTCAACAAGTCGCCGCCATTTCTTTAGCCTCAGACCTCTTCATCAGGCCACGATGGGTGCCTTCCGAGGTTAACCCAGCTGATGGGCCGTCCCGTGGCAGCCTCCATCCGAATTCTGACTGGCAAGCCGTTGCGGAATGGAGGCGTGCCCAAGCAGGGGAGGCAGAAAGTGGCACATCGGATGGTAGTCCCGAAGGCTCGTTTGGACAGCCGCCCGAGCACGGAGACTGGTCGCTTGAGAGCGTCAACTCCGACGGTGAGGGGGAAGCGCGACTCGAGGACACTCAATGGTCCCTCTTCCGCCGTTTCAAAGATCAGGAAGAAGCAGGGGGCAGCGAGGTCAACAAGAACCGTGACGATCGGCACTACGTCGGCCGCGCCTGCTTCCGAGGCAAGAATGATCAAGCTTGGAAGCGAGAAGGCTTCAAGGAACGAGGAGGAGATGGACCAGAACATGACTCTCCTCGAGATGGCAAGTGTCAGCGAAGCCCAGCGAAATCAGTACACGAAGTACCTGAACTCGTTCAAGGACTTCTGCCAGGAGCACGAGATGGGGTGGCCTCCGGACAACCTCGACTGGGTCCTGGCGGATTACTTCGACGACATGTTTTTGCAAGGGAGCTCCCTTGCCGTGGGGGAGAAGACCATTGCAGCGGTGGAATTTCGTTTCATCGAGGCAAAGAAAGGGCTTTTGAGAGCGCGCAGGGCTTTGAAGGGGTGGAGAAAGCTACGACCGCCTACGAGCCGGCTCCCATTGCCGAAACCAGTCACCTATGGAATTGCGATGGTTCTAATCGCAAAGGGGCACCGGGATATGGGAGTCAAGACGCTCGTGGACTTCGACCTCTACCTACGCCCAGGGGAGAGCCTCGACGTGAGAGCCAAACACGTCGTACGTCCAGTGCCAAAGTCCGGGAAACAGTATCAGAAGTATGCTGTGATCATCCGGGATCAGGAGTTGGGGCGCCCCGACAAGACGGGGACCTTCGACAACACGATCCTGCTCGACAACCCGGAAACAGAAAGCTGGCTTGGCCCTCACCTTCATCGCATGGCCAGGAAAGTGACAGGCGAATCCCCGGTGTTTCAGTTTTCATCCGAGGCCTTTCGGAAGCAGTTCCAGAGTGCCGCGGAGGCCATCGGACTGAAGCATCTTCATCCATACCAGCTTCGACATGGAGGAGCGAGCGAGGATCTGAACTCCAGGATCCGCGATCATGTGGCAGTCCGCGAGCGGGGTCGCTGGAAAACCGACTCCAGCTTGCGCCGCTATGCCAAGACGGGGAAACTTCAGAAGATGCTAGGCGAGCTGAAGGTAAGCCACCTCGAATTTTGCCAACAGAGTGTGCGTCGCATGCCGAAGGTCTTGGACGGCACACTTCCGGCTCAGCTTCCCTAGAGGGTAGTTCGTGGCGCACTTGGAAAGGAAAAATGATGGTTGAAGTTTTCTCTGGAACTGGTCGGATTTCGCAGGCTGTCAGAGATTTGCACGTGCCGTGCTTTCCGATTGACATCAGTAACGATCCCAGGGATGATGTTCTCAGTGCCAAAACTCGCGGTCACCTCTACAATGTCATCAAGTCTGGGCGTGTCGTTTTCGTTTGGATATCCATGCCATGCATATCTCTCAAATCTGTCCACAAGTCTGGAGATGAGCTTTCCCAGCCCTATCTGTATGTCGACAGGTCTGGGCGCTCTTTCCACCATGGCGGTCATCAGCTCAGGAGCCTTCGAACCCAACAGGCTCTGCTGCAGTTCTCAGCTTCGCTCATCAAGCTTTGCAGACAATTTTCTGTTGCTTGGACGTTTGAAAATCCCTGGTCAAGCCTTTGTTGGGAGGCTCGTGATTTCGTTCAGCTTCGGCAGCATTCACGTTTTGGGGTTCTCGATTTCTGTCAGTTTGGCAAGCCATACCGGATGCGCACGGGCCTTCTATATGAAGGAATCGACCTAAGCTTCTTGGAGAGGCGATGCAGTGGGCAATTCGGCTGCTGCTCTCGCAGTGGCAAAAAGCACCTGGTTGCCTCCCGTGCGCTGTCTAAATGCAGTGACGTCTATGCCTATCCGTATGAGTTTGCTCGACTCCTCGCTTCGGAGTTGCGGAACCTATATTTCCAGATCGCAAGCGGATAAGGGATGGAGATGTGCACAAACTCTCAAATTTCAAGGTCATGTGCCCTCAAGGGGCACTCTGACGCCATATGAGAGTTCATACAGACAAGCATGGCATAGCCAATCTGGCCGAAAATAAATGAGCTGAGCGCAGACGGATGTCATGACCGCTACTTGTGTAGATGATTGACTTGAGTCGAGCTCCAGCCGATGATCGGCCGTCGCCTCTACTCTCAAAGATTCTTTTGTGTCACCGCCCGCCGTCCCCTCCAAACACCAGGGGATGGAGATGTGCACAAACTCTCAAATTTCAAGGTCATGTGCCCTCAAGGGGCACTCTGACGCCATATGAGAGTTCATACAGACAAGCATGGCATAGCCAATCTGGCCGAAAATAAATGAGCTGAGCGCAGACGGATGTCATGGATCAGATGTGTGCTGCTCGAGATAGAAGTATAAGAGCTGAAGAGTGCTCATTGCATACTGGTTGCATAGGCACCACCCTTAAACCCTACGCCCGCTCCATTAGCCCACGAACTTGCTACTGTTGCACCGCAAATCCGAAACAGCTTATCCTTAAACCTGCAGCCCCTAACCTACAAACTTCGAAACCCATACTGTCAACCCTAAACCACTACAAACCCCAGAAGACCCTATATAGACCCTTAACTTAACTTTACCCCAAGCAAGCCCAGAAGATCCCAAACCCTGTGCCCTCCAACTTCCGGGGGAGGATTGGTCGGTGCCGGCGCATCCACTGCTGGCGGCCTGTCTGGAGCTTCGTTTTCTGGCAGCAGTGGTGGCCTTTCTGGCGCGTCGGACGGAGCATTCGACATTCATACTGTAGCTTCACGCACATGCCCATGGACTGCGCTTTCCCAGCCGCGGCCGACTTTGCCAACTGCACAGGTGGGCTCTGACCCCCTGAAAGCCGGTTTCCATGTGTTACTATATAATTGTTGCTCCATGCCCGTACGCAGAGAGCGAGCAACCCAGATGACCGACAGCAGGCATGATATGTCGAAACCTCTCCCGTGCACCTTCTGTGTCAGGATCCTTATCGAGGGCTCAGACAATCCACTGTTGAGGTCCATCCTTTTTTGCGTGGCAACGGTAAATCCTTGGACAGTTTCGAAGCATTGCTGCTTCACTGACCCGAATACAGACCCCAATAGCAGGTCCTTAATAGGATCTCAACAAGGACCCCAGCAGACCAGCATGGATGTCGCTGGGACCGACCAAAGCCTCGGCATAACCCCCCACACCTAGCAGCCCAAGACAGTACAGCTTATAAGCTTAAGTAGACCGTTGGAACGTACCTCTAAACCATCAAACCGAACCCTAAACCGTACCTCAACTCCTAAACCCTAAACATCCCTAAACTCTAAACCGAGCCTTCCGGCGATGATGTGTTACCTCATCTCTCATCTCTCGGCCGTTTTCAACAACCTCTGTAGACACCTTGTAGAACCCAACATGTAATCCTGCATATAAGAAACCGTCGTACCCTTAGAGAACTCAGCGGCACCCGAGAGCCACCCTTATAAAGCGCATACAGACACCCATCGCACCCTTGTAGAACACTGAAGAAGCCCAAACCCTAAACCTTAAACCCGACAGCTTAAACCCGCACCCCGAAGCCATAAAGGCCCTAAGCCCTAAACCCCAAACCTTAAAACCCGAGGCCCTAAAGGCTCTAGACTTAGTTCCCCAATACCCAACCTTTAAAATTTTTGCGTTCTTATAATTCAGTAGTAATCCGAAAGTTGAACCTTTTATGTCCCTGGCTCATTAGGGAAGTAAGTTCACGTTGAGAGCTTGCTTGCTGAGGCTGCGGATGCGACCCCGCCCCCACCGGAGGAAGAGGCCTTCATTTCCCGGGGCTTTATGCTATTCTTGCAGTAGCAACTTAGGGTTTAGGGTCTAAGGTGCAAGGTTTAGGGTTTAGGGTTTAAGGCTTTGGGTTTAGGGATTAAGGTTTAGGGTTCAGGGTTTAAGGTTTTGGGGTTCAAGGTTTTGTGGCTTTGAGTCTCTGAGTTTAGGGCTCAGGATTCAGGGCTTCGGGTTTAGAGCCCGGTGCAAAGCTTGACAAAGAACCTCGCATCTCCGACTAAAAAGCCATACACCCCGGAGACCTGAACACTTTTACCAACCAGCAAAAAGCCAAGAGACTGTACCCCAAGCACCCAACACCCGTCAAGGCGTAGGGTGTCTTGAGTACTTGGTGTATGTTTACGGTCCATAAGTTGAAAGGTAAGGCCAACCATAAGACCTGACTCTAGATCAGAGGGGCACCCTTAGACATTTATAGAGGCCTAAATAATTACTTAGACTATCATTTTTTTTTTGGGGGGAGGGGTCCTTATACTAGATACACTAGAATATACACCAAACACCCCAGTCTAATTGTTAAGGCCCCTATATTATCCCTCAAGGACCCCTAGGCCTGGTTAGGTTGGCTCCTGGATTTGGGTGTCGTTGCGTCCGGGTTCAACGACCGAAAAAGCCAATCACTTCCACAGCTCTCGATTTGTTCGAAGCTTTGAGACTTGCTTGGTTCTGAAAACTTAGAGATAATATCTAAGACCCTAAACCTGGGGCGACTGTGAGGGGCATTCCTGAGCAGGAGAAGCCGATGTTCATTCGCGGCGCCAGTCGCTGAAGGAGCTGATCCTGTAGCTTCTTCGTTTAGGGTTCAGGGTTTAGGGGTTTAGGGTTTGAGGGTTTAGGGTTTAGGGGTTTAGGGTTTAGGGTTTAAGGTTTAGGGTTTAGGGTTTAGGGGTTTAGGGTTAGGGGTTTAAGGTTTAGGGTTTAGGGTTTAAGGGTTTAGATGTTTAACGTTTCGGGTTCAGGGTTTAGGGTGTTCTGAAGGGTTTGGCCATAGCGCTCTTTAAAAGTGTTGGTTGAGGTTTTGGTGCTTTATAAATGCTGTCAAACCGTTGTGCAAGGGGGTCAGGCCAAGGGTTTCTTTGAATTGCTGTATTAAGGTGCCACCAGTGCCAAAAGTGTGTTTGTCCGAGTTTACGCCCTATACCCAGAGAGCCCAATACCTCAATACCCCTGAATTAAGGAATAGAGCTTAAATTATGAGGGGCTTCATATTACGTAAGCTACATTCCTGATTTCAGGGGTATTTGGCTCCCTGGAACCCCCCCCTTAACCCTAAGCCCTAAGCCCTAAACCCAAAAACCCCCAAGCCTTAAACCCGAAGCCCCTCGAACTAAACCCTCTCAGCCAGCGTTCCCAGTGCAAGTTCCAACGGAATGAGCCTCACAGACCTGTCATGCGGAGAAAGAGTCTAGGGACTAAAGGAGAGACCCTTAAAGGGACCCTTGGGGCTATATAGGGGCTTTATGAGACTATACATGGGGTATGTAAGGGTTGATTGATAGGGTATTAGGATTAGGGGTCCCTTCTAGGGGTCCCTCCTATTGCCCCTTAAAAGAGGCCAGTGCACTTTTAGAAAACAAAGCCTCTCAGCCATTGACCTGCATGTGGGGGTCCCCTTTTAGGTTCCTTTAAGGGGTCTAGAAGGGTTTCTGCAGGGCTTCTGTAAGGGTGCTACAAGGGTAGTTCTCTAAATATGGGCCCCGATTTTAGGTTCCCGCAATGCGGCACGGCACCCTAATACAAAGGACCCCTAAAGGGATCCTAATTTAGAGAACTGCCCATGTAGTGGGTTTAGGGTTTAGGGGTTTAGGGTTGATCTCTGCCCTAAACCCTAAACCTTAAACCCCCTAAACCCCTAAGCCCTAAACCCTAAACCCCTAAGCCCTAAACCCTAAACCCTTAACCCTAAACCCCTAAACCCTATAAACCCTAAACCCCTTAACCCAGGACTCTTCCACAACTGAGAGGTCGCAAAGCGCTGGTTCGACTTGAAGGGCTGGCGCGAACGTACCCAGAGAGCCCAGTACCCCCTTGATTAGGGCTTAGGGTTTTAGGGTTTAGGGTTTAGGGCTTTAGGGTTTAGGGTTTAGGGTTTAGGGGTTTAAGGGTTTAGGGTTTAGGGGTTCCTTTAAAGGCTCCTTCAAGGGTCTTCTAAGGGGTTTTATGGGTCCCATATACCCCTTAAATAAGGAGTATACCTTAAATCATAGTATTAAGCCCCTTATAATTTAAGGTATATTCCTTAATTAAGGGGTAGTGGGCTCTTTGGGTAGGGAGACATTGAAATACGTCGGTACTGTGAGATTTAGGGTTTAGGCTTTAGGGTTCAGGGTATAGGGGCTACGGTTGATGATATAACAAACTAGGGTTTAGGGTTTAGGGTGTAGGCGTGAAGGG